TAGACAATTGACCAATTCTTAGGTAAAACAATTTGACCACCCAAAATTTTTAACTTGATCAACAAGCTACTGACCTAAATGATTGAAGCGCTAGACCATTTGATCCTATAAATGGTTTTGGGTCATTATTTATTTTAATTATACTTAATTTTTATTTTTCAAAATGTCATGGATTGATCAATTTGGACGAAACAATCAAACCGTTGAACTAAAAACCAGTGACCAAAGTGGTTATGTTTTGGGTTGATTTTTAAAATTTTAATTGGCTTAATTTAATTATTTAATTTACGATCGTGTGAGGGGATATGGAGAACAAATTAAGAGAAACGAAACAATCAATGAATAAATAGAATTAAAGATCAGGATGATCTGTTGTACAACTTCCAAGTTAGGAGGTTTAGAAAGAAGCATAGACGAATAATAAAAGGGGATGCCGCTGATCAGCCGCACAACGCGAGCAAGATCATAAATTGGAGTATTACAAATTTACAATACAATGCAACGAAAAGGTTAGTAAGGAATGATGGTTTCGAAACCGTTCAACCCATCCAACTCCAGAGCGAACCGCGGCTGTTTGTGCTGCTTCCGCTGCTCTCCAGCTTTACCGTGCATAGGGGGTAAGGAGTTTGCCTCTTTATTCTTCTTCTCTGTCTCCTTAATCGACCCTGACCTTAAATCTCCCTTTAGTTTCATCTCAGCCATGAACGGAGCCGAAGAAAAACCAACAGTCTGGCCCAAGAATTCTGCACACAGGGCTTCAAAGGAACTGAAAATCGACATCATGGTTGAATCTACTAGGTCGCTTGAAGGTGAATACCCCCACCCCGGTGGCCCGTGCGATACAGGAATAAAAGAAAGAGAAACCAGTAGATCTGGTGGGAAAGGTCCCTGAGATTGCTCTCCATTGAAGAGTGGTTAGATTTATAGGCGGAGGGAGGGCTGGTTGAGTTAATTAAACAAAAAAAAAAAAACAGAATAGAGGAAGTTGGGAGGAAAATTCTTGATCAGTGTGGGGCTTTGGTAGGAAGTAGGAACTAGGTGAGCTCGATTTAACGCAATTTCCGAGTCACCACGATAGACCATTTGGCTTGTTGTCTTTTGACTATATGTTAATTATGTGGATAGACATGACTACCACTGTTGGGCTGGGGTTGCTTCTAGTTCTTGGTTCGTTCCTAGCTAGATCTCTATCAGAAATAAAGGTCCCAGTTTCCCACCCACCAGCTTCCACCAGTCAGTTCAGTTGAACATTATAAATTAAAATGTCAAGGGATGACCAAGTTCGAGTATTCGAACTCTTGACGCTGGATAGCTAGTTATCCATTCATTGTTCTCATGACTTCAATCAGTCGTCATGAGTTGTTTTTGTTGACCGAGGAAAGCCAATGCTAATTCGTACGTCTTCTCTTCTGTGGCCGACTACTATGGCTAATTTGTTATTCTTCGGTTCGGAGGAAAATAAACAAAAATTAAAAGTGATGGATATGACTTGAGTTCGAGTGTACGACGCTCGATCAGTGTATTCTAAAATATGCTTTTGTCACACTCCTACCATGCATGCAAGTAATAGGATCCTTGGCTGTATATCAACTCGTTTTGGAACATTAAATTGAAGAACAACTGCTCATGTGTTTGATATATTACATGATCCTTGGCTATCAACTCCAGTTCCATATGTACACAACACCAACTCTCTTCCATCACTTCAGTAATCAGGCCGACATATCTTAGAGGGAGAATCCATATGCTTTTCACCCTAGAAACAAATGAGACAATCCTAAAGATTCAGCTACCGCTCCCTACATCTTAAAAAATAGATCATTTGGTGTGGATTCCTACTCATGTTACTAGAGGAAACATCTTTGGGCACTCTTCCTTTAGCGCTACATACTTCAAAACGGTTTGAGTCCTTGGAACACATTCTCTTAATACTGTCCAGTGGTCCAACCTGTATGGTTTGGCTCCAATATGAACCTTAAATATGGAGGGGTTTCGGAATCGAAGTATCAGTATGGTGGGACTTCTTGTGTGGCTCATCATTGTTGTGGGTGACATGGACATACATAAATGAACATGTTTTTTAACAAATGGTTTTTAACCCTTGATGAGTGCGGATTTGGCCCTCTAGTCACATCATGATACATGACAACTTAGGTCAGTTAGGAGAAGCTCGTCTAGAGCTGACCTGTAGCACCTCGTCATTGGCCGATGTGACCTTGACACGAAGAGCAACCTCCTTCGAGGGCTTGTTGACTTGACTGAGGTCCAAGAGGCGACTTGTGACTTGTGCTCGAGCTAGGAAGTTGGCCCACGTACCGAGTGTTCTGGAGGATGGTCAACATGCGTAATGRTTACCTCCGGGGATCTCGGATCGGTTAGGCGACCTCTCGGAAATCTCGAATGCAGTGCGTGAAGTCCACGCCAAACAAATCCTATATAAATGCACCAACTTAAATGACACAAAAATGTATGCACGATTATTTGCTCATTAGCACTCTAGCACTCAAGTATTTAGCTCGCATCCATAATACAGTATTGACTTAAGCATCGGAGCGACCTCGTTGGGTTAACCACCCCGGGTTCTCTGATCCTTTATTTTACAGCTTGGTCTTGCTCACCACGTGACTAAGGTCTATGTCATCTTCCAGTTAAGAGTATCCAGATCGCGCACTACCAACCCTATTGCTATAATTAATCTTGCAAGATGTGCTAGTGACTTTTTCATGTCTACATCAACAACAAGAAGTGAAGCCATCAACTTACCACAAACTTTGTGGTCAAAACCCGATGGCTAAGGCTGCATTTTACATTGTATGTGTTTGAAAAGAGGGTGTAATTACTATCGATATAAAATTATACTTCGGTTCAATTTTGTGTACGTTTGGATGGAATATAGTTTTACATTAATAATAGATGTAAAACTTCATCACCTCTAAAATTTTATATGGATAATCGATATAAAAAATACATCGATTTTATCCATATAAAACTTTACACTCTTCCATCTATCACTATTTTCAAAAAAGCAACTGTCACTTTTTGATTCAGTATAAACAGTGTGACGTTTTACACTGATTCCAAATGCAGCCCAAAGGTAAACATTGATGATGGAGCAGTAGGAATTACTTTACTAAAGCTGATGTCAGTACCTTATTAGAGGCCATCATGAAAATCACGTTTACTCTAGAGCAGTTTCACTCCATATTGGATCGCCAATTCAGGTGGAAGCGTAGGCTTTTCTCCACTATGGATTTGCAGTTCAATCAAATGCTTTCAAAGGCGACGTGAAACAAATAGTCAACCTCCTGTTGGTGGACTCTCTCACCACTATAGTGTATAAACACCGTACTTGCAAACTACAGTGGTCTTCTTTAACATGTGTCCTGTTTCTCATGAGTTTGTCATATTAAGTGGAATGCTAACAGAGCTGTACATAAAATTGGCAAGGATTTCCATCGATTTACTACTTTGATTTCCATTGTATGCTCTGATATTCAAAATTGAAATGAATGAAATCCTTTATTTGTATGCTCTGTAGCTGTATTGGTTGCTTGACGTGACTCGTAAGGTAGTAGCGATGAATTCTCTTCTGTCATCTTTGCCCTCTTCACCTCCTCAATCCTTCTCCTTTCTCCTCCATTATAATTATGTTAAATAATTTGGGTATGCGAAAGGGACGCATATAGTTTGCAATGGGTTGGAATGAGCTTGGTAGGCACGGTCAGGGAAGTCACAACTCATACGATTACGCACGTCTTATGGATGCTCGTCAAGTGAAAAGTCTGGATTTCTTGTCAATAAAATACATTCCAACACTCTACCAATATGATCAGACATTGTACATCTCATACATAGCGAGTCTCACGTTTATGGTTGATCCAAATATCAGACGAAATGTGCAGAGTCAGATCATAGAATATGTTTTGTTGGTAAGAGATCTCAACTGTCAAGCAAGAGGGACTTGTTCACATTTATTATCCATCAATTAAATCCCAGGTGGAGACCTTTGACCTATCTGACTGTTCGTATTTGAGCACACTTCACACCAATTTCACAAGCATTTGGAGATGTACTGCATCTGCAGCATCCATGCCAAATATATACTAATTATTTCAATTTCTGAGAAATTAGAAAAATCGAGCCTCAGCCTATGCAAGGGACCACCGCATTCAGTGATTTTTAGGTGATTCCAATTTTTTGTTGGGTAGGTGGCATCCTACTTGGCAGGGGTGAGAAGGTGTTCCAATGCTTTAATGAAAAATAATCACTCTCAAAAATCAATACCATACAATCTCAAAAGTGATTTCCCAAAAAAAATCAACAAAAAAAGAGTGATTTTTTGGAAAATCACTGATTTCAGTATTCACTAATTTTCAAAAAATCAGGTGTGAATCATCATGATGCCTAACATCATCTAAAAAAGCTTAAGGGGATTTTGTGTGACAGCTGAAAGTTTAGGGGTTATAAATAAATAAAACCACCCTTGAAGTTTCTACTTGTTACTTAAACCTTTCTAAAGTTTGATAATTACAATCACTTTCTTTCAACTTTCTAATATAGTTTCAAATAAGTTTTACTTATTAGATTTTTCGGAGAAATACGTATAGGCCTAATGCAAATTTCTGATTTCCACTATAGAATTATAAACATTCAAAAACTCAAAACCCTCGTTTTATACATCAACTTTTACCTTTTCCAACTGTACTTTTTGGCCCAAAAATTCTGACATGGGCTGAACCATCATTCTCCCTCGATTTTAAAATATATATATATATACATATATATATATATGTCCAAAATATCCATACGCTTTTAGCGCCAGGCCGCCAGCCGGACTGTTCAGGCCGAGAATTTTAGGGCCCAGGCATGGCTCGCATCATGTATGGTATCGGCTTGGAAGGAAACCGAAAACCGGCAGCGCCCGGGCAGAACCGCAGAAACGATCAACCCTTGCTTCGGAACTCAAAATAAAGTTAAATTTCATTAAATATCCAGAGTATAAAGGACGGATGAATGTTTCCATCACGACAGATCGGATACAGAAAAAAATAATCGCAGAGCAGCGGCGATAATCGTAATCCGGCACCGTTGGTGGCGTCGGATTTCGGTGTCATTATCGTCCATTTTTCTGCTATTCTTACTATTAGGTAACCAGGAGGGTTGAGATGAAGATATACTTCTCTCTCGTCACGTCGGTTCTCGCCGCATCTGCCGTGGCTTTCACCTCCCCCGTGGATCCCAACATTGCTTTCCATCCTTCTTCGAAGCAGGTATCGTTTTAAATCTTTGATGATTGGCATCATAGTTTTTCTTGTTTCTGGGACCTGAAATGCGTTTTACTTTAAATTCTTTTTTTTTTTTCCGTATACTCTGATGTTTTGGTCCCCAAACGACTACGATCTAGGTCATTTCAATAATTTCCTCCCCATTAGATGGATTCACAGAGATTGCTCTACGGGTCGAGTGTTTTCGTCGTTGTTACGATTTTTGAATTCGATTTCTAATTCCGGATCTAGCGTTTTCCGTCTATGTTTCTCTTAAGAATATGTTTGATTGAATTTTTAGCCTTTTTTATTTCATTTATCTTTTATCGTTCTCATAATTTTTTTTCTCAAATATGTTATTTGATTTCTTGTGTATGAGCTGCTTAGCGTGAAACTGTGAAATGTGCATCGTCGTCCTTTTTTATCCACATGTTTTTCCCTAATTTCATTTTGTTTTTTCTGGTGTTTAGGGTTCTTTCTCCTCGTCCGTTAAAGACAGGGTTCCTTGCGCCCGCATAACTTCGGATATGGATAGACTAACGCCAAGATTCGACGGTTTGAGATTCATAGAAACCTTGGTGACGGCACACAGATAAATAAAGATGTCTCACCTGTTTTCTTTCTTCTTTCATCGTTTCCTATTGATATAAGGAGCATTCGTTGTAAAAGTTGCGTGAGAGAAGATTCTTTTCTTGAAAGTTTAGTCCTGTACTACAGGATTTGAAGCCTATCATCTTTGTTAAAGTAAAAGTGGCGCTCTTTCTACATTATAAATAATAATAATAACAATATTGTTATTATTATTATTATTATTTCTCGTTGATCGTTAATGCAGAAAATTGGCAATGTGTTTTGAAGAGGTGTAGTGAAGGTTTAAAATTTAGAAAAGGGGAATGCTAGATTTGCAAAAATTTTCAATAAATAAGTGCAAATCATTAATCTTTTTGAAAAAATTTTAAAAGTTAGTGTGAATCCTTAGTAATTTTTTTCTTGAATGTTTAAATTTATGTTGATTTACATTTCTTACATTTAAAATCATTTTTTTGTGTTATTAATAAATTGATGGAAAATTTATGAAAATATTTGGGGAAAATATACATTAATAAAAAATTTGAAAATGTAATTTTTCTCGGCCTATAAAGACTAAATATGTTTTAGATCTATGGATTTATCTATCATATCCATAGAGCAATTGAAATTTTTTTTGTATTTTTTTAACTTTTTATATTTTTAGAATTAAAAAATAAATAATATATATATATATATTAAAATTGGTCTATCTATGTCACCATACCTTTTCTTGCTTCAAACCCCTTCCTAATTTTTTTTTTTTGAATTTTTTATTTTTTTAGTTCCACATAATTACCCATTAAACCAATAAGGAAATCGCATATGCTTAATTATTTCTCACAACCATAAAGAAAGAAGGATTTGCTTTTCTAATGTTTAGCCAAGTGGCATTGGTGTGTTCGGAAGTGTGTCGTTAATCATTTCGGGACACTAATTTATTATTTATAATTTTTTTCCGATTCTCAGACAAATACAAGCGCAATAAATGGGTGAGAATGGGTCGTATTCACAGAGAAGTGAGAGAAAAACCATTATTTACTTAGATCCGAGAAAGATAATACAATTGGGAATTGTAGAAAATAATAAAATAAAATTTATTAATGTTGAAATTAAATATTCGGAATTAAACAAGACAATAACTAAAATTCAGAAATTAATAGAGTACTGAAATTAACTAAAGAAATAAATAAAAGTGATCCAGAATCCGGATCCRGTGGTGGTAGTTGTAGATCGACCAAACAGCTTGCAGAAACCCCCTCTTGACAAGAATCGGGTGTCCATCCTTTCTACAATCCTCGAACCCCTCAAGGCACCTTAGCCTTGAACCGAACAAATTCAGATCTGCAAAACAGTGAAACGAACAAGAATTAAATCTAAAAGATTGCATAAATAAAAATAACAAAAAAGAAAATAAAGAAAATAAAAGAATGGTTGATCAGACTTGACAAGATCTAGGCATCCTCTCCTTCTACAACCCTTGAACTCCTCAAGAAACATTAGCCTTGTTAATTGGGTGAATTGACCAACACCTTCTACAGGGCCCTTGGGATCCTTTTTATAGAGAATGGTGGACACAAATGGAAATATGGAGAAAGATTGGGGGTAGCAGTTGGGATTTAGCAAAGTTAGGGATGCCCTTGGGTTTCTAATGGATGGCTAAGATAGTTTTGGGGTGATCCTATGGCTGAAAATGGAAAGAGATGGCACCCAATGTTTTGTATGGCTGAGATTTGAGCGCTTAGAAATGGAGGGTGTAGATTAGAACATCTAGGGTTGAAGGGTTAAGATTAAAAGAATAGGTGGTGCCTTAGATTGAATGGTTGGGATATAAAATGGAGGGAGTGGTTGAGATTTGGAAATGGGGGGTTGAATGGTGAGGATTAGCTGAATAGGTGGTGCCCTAGGGTTTAAAAGCTATAAAGGAGAGCCCTAAAATGAGTGGTTGAGATTAAAAATTGTGGAGGGTGGAGATTAAACACCTCGGGCGGCTAGGGTTTGCTAAGAGTGAAAATATTAGGTTAAAAAGGCTCCCTAAGGTTTGCTAAAGAGAGGGGAACATGGTAATACAGTAGCATGGGCGCCAACTGGGTTTAGCAGGTAGGAGAAGCCCTCCTGTTCTCAGTTCTTTACAAAACACCCCCTCTCTGAGCTGATCTTCACACCAGTTTCCCWAAAACTACAATTCAGCCTAGAAAACTTCATAGTTTTATACATAATTTGCACAGAGACCCTCAGAAGTCACATAATTGATTTTAATTGGGAAAATGGTACACTGACTATTCTAAGGCCGAAAGTACCTCTAAATTGATGCCCTTAAGGCATCAAAATGCAGGGTTATAAGGCATCACTTTCCCCCACTTCCTCCTAAATTATCTCTAATTTYTATTTATCTCCTAAATTATCTCTAATTCCTATTTATCTCTTAAATTATCTCTAATTTAGTAAAGATGTTCTCTCCTAAACTATCTCTAATTCCTATTTATCCTTCCCCCACTTTTTATCTATATCTATTTAAAGAAATTTTCAATTAAAAAAATTCAGAACTATTTAAATGTTATAACGAAATTATATACTAAATTTAAAATATTTATTCAAAACACAAAAAATTAATATATTTAATAATATTCATATTATTAATAATTCAATATTTTCACAAAATTCATCATGAAATTATATACTAACAATATAAATTATAATTTTACAAATTATTTAATTTAAATATTATTCAAATAATCAAAATTTAAGGATAAATCTCTTAAACTACTATTGCTCACGAAATTTATACCCTTATGTTTCTGACAATTGACAGCCGCTAAATGCTAACAGAAGAAAACAAAATGTCAAATTTATCTTTCCACTATTCCTCAAATTTCATCCCCTATTTCAAGAAAACGAAGACGAAGAAGAGGGTTTGATTGCAAAGAATACGATGAGTAACCGGGTTCGCTTCATTGGTTCCCCATAGGGGTTCGCTTTTGGACAAGGGACAATGGTTCGATTGCATAGAAGACGAAGAAGAGGAGAGAGAGCCATGTTCGATTTGTTCGATTGTATAGAAGACGAATGTAGCAGGGAGGTGAGGTGGGGGAGGGAGGGTTCACCGGCGACAACTGCTGTGTTGTAGTACCTCATCATCGGCGACAACTGTAAGCACCTCACCGACTGAACCAAAGATGCAGCGGCGAGGTGAGGTGGGCAGGAAGGGTTTGGCAACGACAACTCTGTGTTGTAGTACCTCATCACCAACGACAATTGTAAGCACATCGTCGACTGAACCAGAGATGCAGCGGCAAGGTGAGGTGGGGAGTTTGCAATCGAACAGGGACAAAGGGGACAAAGGGGAGAGAGAGAGAACGAAGGGGAGGAAGAGAGAAAGAGAGGGAGGGAGCCCTTCGTCGGTGGCTGTTGTCGCTTGCGACAGCTGTGCCAAGAGGGAGAGAGAACGAAGGGCTCGTCGCAGGCACAGTCGTCGTTCTCTCTCCCTCTCGGCACAGCCGTCGCAGGCGACACCAGCCACCAGCGAGGCTCAGCCTGTGCCACCCACTCCTTGAGCTCTTTTTCCTCCATGAAAATAACTGATTTAGTTCGCCAGCCACCGGCGAGGCTCAACGTGCTTTGAACAAGTAATGCACGTTAGCATTTTGGGTCTCACCGATTGTTATCAATCAGATCTTTGCCGTAAACAGGGAACCAACACAAATATCTTTGGAAGGGTGATCGGAAGCTTCCTATGGTAGCGGTGGAAGCACAGTTCAATGTAGGTGGCGGTGCTCTGTTTCAAAATAAGTGGAGAGAGAGAAGATGATCCGAGGTGAAGGATGGTCGAAGCAAGTTGTAACAATGAGGGGGAGGACAAGGGTCCTTGAATCCGTCCATATAAACAAAAATCTAAGGAGAAAAAAAGACAGGCAGGGAAGTCCGAAGATTCTGGTTTCTAGAAGGCGATGAAAATCCAGACTGGCATTCAGATCTGCTACGGTGAATGGGTGAGTATTGATCAATGTTGTATGATCACCAAACTTTTGCTGTTCGAAAGTTATAGTGGCCATAGTCGCTTACGACAATGATACCAAAATCACTGACACCGTTGCAACTTCCAACAGCAGCGGCGGTGAACAACAAGGGTATTTTAGGAATTTTAAAATAATTACCACTCACATGATATCACATGTGAATGGAGTGTGACAACAAATTAATGGCAAGAGAGGTTTTAGACAGTTGTGAAGAAAACTTAAGGGAACGCACGACAATATCTAAACAATAAGAGTACAGTTTGTCAATTTTGTGAATAGTAAGGGTAGTTTAATATTTAAATATTTAAAGGGTAGTTTAATAAGGGTACAGTTTGTCAATTTAACATTAAAAAATCACATTATTTAAATATTTAAATAACTAAAAATCTTAAATAAAAAACATTAAAAATAGCAAAATAATATAACAAAATATTTAATATTATGTAATAACATTAAAATAAATAACATTCAAATTAATATTTTACATATTATTTAAATATTTAAATAACAAAATTTTAAGTAGTTACAATAACGAAATTATGTAATTAATTTTAAAAAATTCATAAAAGTAGAAAAATAATTATAATAGAATTCATAATATTCATATTAATAATAATTTAATATTTTACAAAACTAATAACGAATTATGTAATAATAGTACAATTATAATTTTATGGATTATTAAATTCAATAAATAATTAATATTTTAAGAATTTAAATAACGGTATTATTTCAATAACTAAATAATATTGTAAAAAACTAAGTTCACTTATATCAATTAATAATTATAGAAAATAACTATCAACAAAATTATATTTATTAGTAATAATTTTACAACAATAGTGTATATTCATTATATATTTATATATACTATAGTTAATATTTATTTTACTTTCAGTAATTATTGGAGATTAAATAACTATTGTTTTAATTTTGAAATTTAATTTATCATATTTATTGTATTTTTGTTATAAATTTATTTTTATTAATTATATATTTTTTTATAATTTATAGATTAATACCTATTAGAGACTAAACTATTATTTGAGATTACACTATTTATTGACTAATTTAGTATATTTTTAGTATTTATTATATTTTTGTAATTATTGTATTTTATTTTATATCTACTATATTTTCATTATAA